TTCTCACTAGTCTTAAGCTTGTAAGTTTTCACTGTACACTGTGCAAACTGAATAACTAGCTTAGTATTATTTTTGCACTATCTATTCAGAGATGGGTATGTGTTTCACCTCAGAAATATATAATGCATGCATGTATAATTAACATGAGATCTGCTTGAGGAGTGCAGTGGACCCATGTTCATGGGCAATAATTTGCATTCTTTTTTTTTTTAAAGATTTCATTTATTTATCTTAGAGCGAGCATGATTGGGGGAGGAGCAGAGGTAGAAGGACAAGCAGACTCTGTGCTGAGTGTGGAGCCTGACGTGGGGCTTGATCCCATGACCCTGAGATCAGGACCTGAGCTGAAATCAAGAATCAGATGCCCAACTGACTGAGCCACCCAGGTGCCCCAATCATTTGCATTCTTGAGGATGTTTATGCTTATCTTATTCTACATCTGAAATCTAGCCTTACCCATACATAGGTGAGGCTCCAAATAACTGCCTGATTTAATTAATTTATGATAAAGTTGACTCTGTTTTTACCAATGTATCCATGTCTCTCTCTCATTATCAGAATAATGGGATTCAGAAGGCTAGGAACACCAAATGAACCTAAGGGGAAGGGATCGAAGTGACTACCTGGCTTATTTCTTACCTAGGCTTTAACTTGATGGGTCAAGAAGTTCTTGTGGTTCACTTCCAGTCTAATTCAGCCTGCTAAACACACTGGTGCTAGGGATCAAAGACCTGAATGGTAATGAACAGGGTCAGTAGGCTTGTGCGCCCTCTGCACAGCCCCCATGAACATTTGCAGCAGGGATAGTTGATAGGAGAGTTCGGGATTCTAATGACTGCCATAAATGGGCAGAGTAAGGCAGGTACATGCATAGAGGACTGGAATTTGGGAAGCAGACTCTCCTGGGAACTTCCAACTATGGAAACAGCTGTAAATTTTATAGATAATGTTCCACATGGAGGAAACACGGTTCTCGTGCTGGAAAAAGGATAGGCAGAGACTCATGTTGGCAGGGATGGGAATTCATTTTCTGTGCCTGAACAGACTCTGTAAGAGCAGCTACATGTCCGCTGGGTAACATCCCAGATGGAATAAGGAAGAATCTAGTCTTGCAAGGGATGGAAATTTGTTTTCCAAAGAGGACTCGCACCAGAACCAGCAACCTTTCCTTTTGTGTAGATTTGGATTTGCTGACTGGGATGCCTTCACTGCCCTGTATTATCTTTTCTGTTCTCCTAAGTTTTGGCCAGGGATGAGAAGTGGACATGTTTTTCAGCTTTTATTACAAGAATCCAAATTTGGGTATCCAGAATGTCTACCACAGGGAGCTTTTGTTAATAGGGGGATTTTCTTGATGTTTTATCACCAATTTACTTATTACAATTCACAGTTCAAAGAGGACTTTAAAAGAACCAAAATTTGTCATTTCTTGCTGCTGAGGAAGCCCAGTTCCTAGAGGTAGAGGGAACTATGAAAGCTTTCTTGGCCACCAAATATGATTATTGGCATGTGCACAGAAATTGTTGCTTTGATTTTGAAAGGGGATTTCTGGGAATTCAAGAAGAAACAAGACCAATGGGGAAAAAATGATTATTGAAGTCAATACAGAAACTGTGGGAAAGCAAACAGGTCAGGAGACATTCAGATTCAGAAGATGGGACTCTTCCTACTGTAATGGTTTAAGGTTTATAAAGCCGAGCTGAAGGGGTAAGGTAACTTCTGAGTGACTGAGGGCCTCAGGGGAAGCAGGGTCAGATCCGGATGTAGCAGCTGGACAAGAGGATAAACTAGCAATGTGTGCGTTACCATTAAAATAGGAAACATTGTTCATGTCCTAGTGAATTTTGAAGCTGAGGAAAGCAGTTTGGGAGAGCAGCTGGAAGGGAGTATCATGCATTTTTCTCAGGGCTCCTTAGGGGGCAGACTTAGGAAGAAATGAGTGGAATGCCAAATTCTGAAGCCTGCAGAGAGGGATTTGACCCAAATGTAGACATAACGTGGAGACTTGACTTTGGTAATTGGAAATTACAAGCTGAAAACATTTCTGAATAAGAGTTATGGTTATGGGAATGGCAGAATTGGTCTGACTTTGTCCTCTGGTAGAGAAATTCTGAAAAAAGAGCCAAAGATTGGAATTGCAGAGAATATCAGGGCCTGGAATTTAGAGGCTCGAATGCTGTCATGTGGCTTGCCTTGTTCATAGGAAAGAGGAGCGTTCAGAATAGAGACTTCTCAGTTCTACACTGGGTTCCAGGACCGAGGGAGAAGCCTTACTGGCAGAGCATCGTCAGGCATGGAATCCCGCGTGACCTCATGCCCACAAATGGAAGCGCTCTCCATATGTGAGAGTAATCTCCCACGAGCATTGTCACCAGACATAAATGTGAGATTTCTTGGTCTAGACTTTAAAATAATAGAACTCTCCTCAAATTGCAGGCTGCTATACTGACCATGTTTAGTTCTGAGATTCCATGTGTTTCCAAATCTTATGGGTGTTATTTATATGTATTTTGACAGCTCCTGGGAACTCTGAACAGATTGTGCTCAATTTGGAGGAGTCCATCTTAACTTTCAATGGAAGTGTTGAAGGCTGCAATTGCTCCTGGTTGCTTTTGCTCGAGAAAAGACCCAGACCCCACGCAGGAACTGGGGTAAGACCCCTCCGGCTGAGATGGAGCCACATAGGAGAAAATTCAATCTACAGTTATTGGGGAGATAGCTGCTTTGTGTCAGGCACTCTTCTGTGCCCTCATAGTCAAGATCTTCGTCTCCTAGAACTTATGTTTTAGTGGAATGTGACAAACAATAAATATGATGAAAAGAAATGTGTTGGAGAAAAAAAAACAAAAAAAGGAGTAGGGTAAGGGGGATTAGGATGCTAAGGTGAAGGCCTGGGTGCCATTTCCAGTGTTGAACTGGGCATCTTGAATAGGTTTCATTTAGAAAATGACATTTAAGCAATGACTTGAATGAGTGAGGGGTTAGCCTTCTGGGGGAGGTGTGACGGAGAGGGTGAGCCTTTCAGACAGAGGTGCATAGTGTGTTAGAGGAATAGGAGAGGCCATCACGGCAGGGAGGGAGGAGGAGCAGGAGGGATGGAGGAGATCTTCGAGGTGTTGAGGAAGACTGTCAGCAGCTGTAAAGATTTGGGATTTTAATTTAGTGAAATGGGGAGACACATGGGGGATCCGAGTGAGGGAGTGACATGATTTGACATATTTTGTGAGGATTATTCTCGAGTTTATACAGTTTGTGTGTAAGGGAGCAAGGGTAGAAAGATGGAGGCTCTGTCTAGGGTGGTAGCAGTGGGGTTGGTGAGAGGTGGCTGGAGTTTGGATATATACCAAAGGCAGATTTCGGGTATTTATCGAAGGCAGAGTAAAAGGATTTGCTGATGGATTGGCATGCAAAGTGAGAGAGAGACGTGAATAAAGTTTTTTGGTGTGAGCAACTGTAAGAAAGGAAGACCGTCTCCTGAGGTGGGAAAGGATGTGGGTGCAGTAGGTTTGGAGTAGGGGGAACATTAGAAATCCAGTAATGAAAATGCTAATGCTAGATGCTTTTGCCCATTTCTGACACTTGTATCAGTGTGAACCGATCAAAGATTTATTTTGTTGAACATTAGTGTCTTTGTGGAACAAAGGAGTGACCAGAAAAGAGGAGAGGACTTGTGGTGTTCTGGGATGGGGAATATTGGCATATTGTGCAGAGATGACCTTGTAGCTCTTGGACTGAGGTGTTGTCTGTCATCCGCACTCTAACTTTGCTTAATAAACTTGATTCAATTAAAAATGAGGTAGAAATAAAGAGGAAATTTGGCGTGGTGGCCCTGTAAGCTTAGGGGCAGCCTGGAAAGCACATTAAACAAGTTATTTCAAGAGACATTTCTAAAAATCCATGGGACTGACCTGTCCATCTTGTCAGATCCTGGAACAGCAGGGTTATTACAGTAGCAAGTTTGCACGATGCTGAAAAGGCTTTTGGAATATGACACCCATCTCCTCCCTTTAGAACGGGAAGCCCTCTGCTTTATATTTTAAGCCCATTCAGCTGAATAAACATGGCCAATATGAAGGAGTGTCAGTGCACAAACTGTACCTTAGGAGAAGGAGAGCCCAGGGCTCCTTTTCCTTCATCACACTTCCCTAATAACACTGAAGAATCAAATCTGGGCTATAACGCAAATGAGTGGAGCTTTCTATGGGACGAGCGAAGATGATACAAGCCCTGGGATCACTATGAAATGCGGTTTTGGCAGTTGAAATATCCTCTCTTAAAGTCCCACGCAGTTGGTATGGCAAAATGTCTTGGGCCACTTCCTGCTGGGCGTGGTTGCTCTCGCCTTTGGAAGTCTCAGCAGGCAGGGGAAGTCAGACACCAGGACAAGGAGGCTCCTTCCAATGGGGACTTATCTCTGTGCTTTCTCTTACCAGGGTTACCAGGGGAGGTAACCAGACTCCAGGACATTCCTGCTTTCATCTCCAGATCCGAGACCTCACTCCACTTCCAAGGACACTCTAATAAACAACGGCCGTTCTTTTAATATTAGTCTGAAGTTTTAGTACTGTGATAGAATAAAGGGTTAGAAATCTAATGCATTAAAATATTCTGTATAAGAAAATTTAATTTTATATAATTGCAGAACGTATAAATACGTTTATCTCATTTTTAAGATAATGAGTGCACACTTGGACTAGAAGCACACAAGATCTCAAATGAACTGTACTAGAACAAAAGTATCCTAAGTGTTAAAACAGACATAATCTCTCATTAAGTTCACAGTGGCCAGATAGGTTTCTTCTTAAGCCTTCTTATCTGATTTTTTTCTCTTATCAGCATTTTGGAGGCAATAATACACGTAACTGTAGCCACAGGACTCATGCTATCAAGATTTAAAGGAGTGCAGTTAAAAGACCTCCCACGTGGCTTTGAAATGGTAATATTAAATACATTTGAGTGCTATACAAGTAATTAGCCATAGGTAATTAAGTATGGTTCACTTGATGATTATAGCCATATTCCAGACTATGTGGAAGACTCGAACTCTCTGTAAATAAAAGTATGATTATTTTCATTTCAAAGACCAAAGCTGAAAGTAGGACCCCACAGGAGGTCTGTCACCCACTAGCTTGCACATGTGACTGTGTAAAAATAACTTTCTGAGGGCAAAGATCGATGGTGTTCTTTAAAGAAGAACATAGGGACTCAATAACTAATTAGCTTATGTCTCTCTGTTCCTGTAATTGCAAACCATGCTGGAATCAACTTTCTGAAAGTGTGAAATAGCTATTACTGTACCGCTTGCTTCTACCACCAAACTCTATTTTTACACTTGGGATATTTCTTTTCTATGGACTTAGTTCAGCCAAAAATTTATGTAAGAATTCTCTCTTATGTCCAAAATATAAATATAACATCCTTCTCTAGGGTGAAACTAACAATTTTAAGAAGAATATGAGGAAAAGGTTCAGGTTGATGAGCTGAATGTTAGAAGTCAAGAGCTCTAGACTCTTCTTTTTATCTTCAAAACAGAGCTGTGCCAATTCTCATTCTGGATTAGGCATCTCATAATTTACTTCACTTTTTTAACCTGCAAAATGGCACGGTAGACATCTATATATACAGTATCATCAACTCAAACTCACCGGAAAGATTCATGCAAGTGAATTGATTTAGAGATAGGGTCTGGCTTTATCGTAAGTGACATTTTTAAATAGACAACTGGGTAGAAGTAACATAGCAACATAAAGATAGACTTGTATTTTCATAAAACTTCATCACAACTAGTTGAAAAGTGGAAAAGAAAAAACCCACACAATCCAACCAGGTAATTTGATCTACTTAATATCAAATATTTTTTAATAAATTGTCAGTAGCACTGATTATAGAAGTAGGGTCTTGTCTTTCTTTCTCTTTCTTTCTTTCTCTCTTTTTTTTTTAGATTTTATTTATTTATTTATTTGTCAGAGAGAGAGAGAAAGAGCACAAGCAGGGGGAGCGGCAGGCAGAGCAGGCAAAGCAGAGCTCCCTGCTGAGCAAGGAGCCTGATGTGGGATTCGATCCCAAGACCCTGGGATCATGACCTGAGCCAAAGGCAGACGCTTAACCGGCTGAGGCACCCAGGCATCTCAGGGTCTTGTCTTTCCCTGCTTTGTTCACTGTTGGCTGACAGTGTGTAAAAGTGAGGCCACATTTGACATGTAGTCATGATCACAGAAACTTTTAGACCTAGTCATCTGGAATGACTACACCTGGATGACTCTCTCTCATTCTTCAGGCCTTAAATATCGTGTCCTCAGACAGGTCTTTGTTGACACCCTCTGTCTAAAGAAGCCTTTTCTCTTAGCACTTTCTCTCTTAAAATCACTTTATTTCATTATTTTATTTTATTTTAAAGATTTTATTTATTTTAGAGAGAAACAGAGAGATAGTGCGCACACACGGAGGGGAGGGGCAGAGGGAGAGAGAGAGAGAGAAACCTAAGCAGACCATGCTGAACACAGAGCCCAATGCGGGGCTCGATCTCATGACCTTGAGATCAGACCTGAGCTGACTCTCAACTGACTGCGCCATCCAGTGGTGCAGGTGCCCCTGTTTCATTCCTTTAGAACACTTAGAGTTTGGGGTGCCTGGATGGCTCAGTCATTAAGCGTCTGCCTTCAGGTCAGGTCATGGTTCCAGGGTCCTGGGATCGAGCCCCGCATTGAGCCCCACATGGGGCTCCCTGCTCGGCGGGAAGCCTGCTTGTCCATCTCCCACTCCCCCTGCTTGTGTTCCCTTTCTCACTGTGTCTCTCTGTGTCAAATAAATAAATAAAATCTTTAAAAAAAAAAAAAACACTTACGACTTTTAATAATCATGTTTTTAAGATGTTTGGGGTAATTGTCTGTTTTTCTCCTCCAGGATGGATGTTCCATGAGGACCTTGCTTATCTTGTCTGTCAATGTCTAGCTCAATGCTGGGCACATGGAAGATACTCAGGAAATAATTGCCAAATGGTTGGAATAATGAACAAAGAAGATTGAGCACTGCCAAGGTCAGTCAATAATGGTCATATATAATTGATCAATTATATGTTGATACAATGGGGGAATACAAAGAATTGTATGTCCTCTAATAACTGTGTTTTTAGTTAGAGAAGTCAGGCACTTGAAGCACATATAGTTGTATAAGAACCATTGTATAAACTAGGGGGGCAAAAAAATAACTATCTTTCCAAGCCTGATTTCTATTTTGAGAACTGATTCAGCGGGTAGAAACAATTAAAACAATTTGGTGTCACTCCCACTGAGTTAGATTTAATTTCAGGTGGCTGACATATTGACAAAGTCTTCAGTGGTTATATTAGTATACCAGTCTGATGACAGGTATTAGTCACAATGGCCCCGGGTGAGTTGCCCATCACCCATTATTTGTTCTATCCTGGTCAGGTAAAACGCTCTTCATTTCTGTCCTGAGAGGCTCCTCCAAGCGTTGTTGTCTTTCACATAATTGAGCCTTGCTCATCAGTCCCATATCTCTATTCTGGCTCAGAGAAATAGGGAAAGACAGAGTGGAAGCCTTGTGATTTTTAATGGTTTGAAAGAGGAACCATTTATTTGCTCCCAGTTCTGCTGGTCAGCAACTTGGGCAAGGCAGAGAGAGTTTCATCACTGCTTCGCATGGTGTTGGCTGGACTCATTTATGCATTTGTGGTTGTTTGGCAGATAGGCTGGGCCTGGCCTGTTCCGAACCACTTCACTCATATGTCTGACAGTTGCATGGGACTGTCAGCCAACCCATCTTAGTTCTCGTCCCTGTGATCTCTCCATATGGCAGAGGAGTCCCCCCTAAAGGTAAGACCTAATGCACAAGCACTTAACTAGCTTCTGTTTGCACTGCATTTGCTGATGTGCCATTGGCCAAAGAAAGTTACATAGCCAATCCCAGAATCAGTAAAGGAGAGAGGATTACACAAGGGGGTGGACACCAGGAAAAGTGTGTCATTAAAGGGAACAAGCTAGATGATATTTGCAGGCAACAATAGACTAGGAGCTCTATCCTTTACAAATACTGTTATGTTCTCAAATATCATTAAGACAGAGCAGCCCAGAGATCACATAATTAAAATGGAGAGGTACAGGATCCTGGTTTTGTGTTAATGCTTTCATATCTGAGGCAGTGTTCCCTGAGAGTTCATTGTTAGAAGCATCAGTATGAAATCCAAGGCAGAATAAAAGGCCTTGTTAAGTAAATCCTTGCTCTAAAAAAGTGATGCCACCAAATATTGAGAACAACAACTCACATTCATCCTGAGGAACAAAGAACACATCAGGAATTAAACAAGCGTTTGCAGCTACTTAGAAAATCATTAGTTTAGCAAATCTTTCTTATGTAATTGGTATTTGAGGCAGCTTAGTGGAAAGGGATGTTATTTTGCTTTTATTAAGCATCAAATATTTAATGCATTCACATAACACATTTTGAGAAAAATCACCCTTATCCAGTGGGCAATCTTGACTGCACCATGCTATCAAACTTTATTGCTCATTTTGCAGTCATAAGGGACAGTTCATAGTTTTAATGAAACAGGAAATATTTTGATTAGCATAGCAATTTTTATTGAAACATTTATAGTATTCTAAAATGATTAAGTAACCATAATTAATGCGATATTCATTTCTTATTGTAAAATAAAGATGGTTATTATCATCAGGCAGTGAAAGATAAAATGGGTTGCTTTAAATGGAATCAAGTCATGAAATAGAATACACGGATTGTGCAAAGCCACTTCCCTAATGGGTTCGCTGCTCACAATCAGTGTCCAGGGTTCTCGAGGAGTGCAAACATCACACAAAACCCAGGTGTTTTCTGGATGTTACTGGAAGTCAATGGATGAGACTAATTTTGTGAAATAAAGTGAAACAAAAACCTCCCCGGAAGAAAGCAGAGAGCTTTCTGAGTGCGTCTTTCAGTGATTGATGAAACTGAGTTAGATGACAAGATAACAGTATCTAATCTAATCTAACCATCCCCCAAATCATTATTTCAGCCATATCTTAGCATAGGAAAGAGAAGAGCAACTCAGGTTTAATGTGAGTATTTGCTGTGTGCCAAGAACTGCTTTGATTTCTTCATACGTATTATTTCCCTTAGACACTGGAAAACTCCGTGTCTGCCAAATGATGCATGATATTGTTGACTAAGTGACAAAAAAGTTCTTAGACTCTCTCTGCCATATTGTATGTAGAACAGACAGTAAAGAAATGGAAAATGAAAGAGGGAGATGATTTTTATATTGCTCCCCCCCTGAAAATTTCTCTGTTGTTTATTGTTTATTAGTACAATTCTGGATTTCCTTAAAGCGTATTGGTCTGCTACATAGTTATAAGGGGATCCAGAGGATGAAATACACATTTAACCCTTCAGCTGTGCGTCCTTATGGCCATCATCAAAATTACTTATATGTTCAGTGTTCAGCTTGGTAACAGATTCCCTTTTGAACACTATATGCTATACTCTTGGCAAATGGACATTTGCATAGTTTTCAGTTTGGGGCTATTGCAGTAGGGTGGGTATGAATATTCTAGTGTATGTTTCTGGAAGAATACACATTTTGGTTGGTTCTATGCCCTTATGTCCAAAATATAAATATGTGTAAATGGTCAATTTTGGTAGACACAACCAATTTTCTAAAATTAAGTCAACTATATTCCACCATCATGTATGAGAGTCTGGTTACTTAATATCTTCACCAGCATTTACAAATGTTTTCTCTTTTCCATCTAGCCATTCTCTTGTGCATGTGATTGCATTATGGTTTTAATTTTCTTTTCCCTCATGGCCAGTGGAATAATCGCCTTTTCATATGTTTATTGACTATTTGTGCACACTGTTTAGAATTTTTAAAGAGCACTTTTATTTGCATAAAGGGGAGGTACTTGGGGGGTAGTTTTTTTCTGATAGCCTCAGCCGGAAAGTCATTTATTCATAGTTGGTAAATTCACTGAGCCAGCAGGATTAGGTACTGTGACTGACCAGCTGAGTGGTCTGCAGTATTCCATTTACTTGGTGTTCATAATAGAGTTGTCTTGTTTTGTTTCTTTAGGGTAAGACTGTATCGTGAACATTTTCTGCAGCTTTTCCCCATACAATAGCACAGATCTATTTAATTTTATTTAATGACTGAATAGTAGTCAGTATTTCATTTCACAGAACACAGAACTTATCCAACCAGCCCCTTCTTGGTGGACATTCAAGTTATTTTTTATTTTTTTACTCCCGTCAAAAATGCTTCAATTGATATCATTGTGAATTTGTATGATTTCTGTGAGTAAATACCTAAAAGTGGGATCTCTGGTTCAAAGGTGGTGCATATTTAAAATTTTTAATTAATGGCGACCAGAGGTCCTCCAAAAAGATGGCATGAATGTAATAAAGTAAAGAATTCTCTGTTCCTTGCCACCACACCAATATTGGTTAATGCCAATAATTTTATTTTTGCCAAACAGCTGAGTGAGAGATGATACATGTTTTCTTGAATTTACTTATGTCTTTTATATTTTTCTTCTATAAATTGCCTGTGCATATTCTTTGCTCAGGGCTACATAGTTCAGCTTTTTCAGGGGCCAAGTAGTTGAAGTAAATAAAGGATTGAGGCAGGGGTAAGACAATGGGGAGGGAGGGGGTATTGCAGAACTGCCTCACCACTCATTTCACATAGGATTCCTGTTTATCTTTTCGCTCATCCATTGCAAATACTTTCCTTTTGTCTGGCACTTTGTTGTGTCTTCCACTATGTTTTTAATTTTTCAAAGAGCTATTTTTTGTTGTTGTTATAGTCTGAATAAAACAGACTTCAATCTTTAACTTTCAGATACTGTGTTAGAATTATGTCTTTTCTTCAGTTTTACTTTGATTTATATTGTTACTGTTTTTCCCTATCCTATTAAGTTGAATTCATTTTTAGTCTTTTTTGGTTAATAATTAAAGGTCAGCTGTGAAGAGTTTGACCACTCTTCGCCTAGGACATAAAAAAAATTCCAAAAAGGAGACTCAAATAATCTTTAAAAGTAGGATGTGGCTAAAACCGTATTAGAGGAAACTTCATAGCCTGAAATATTTTAAGCAGGCAAGGTTGAAGTCTTTCTTTCACCAGTATCCACAAATGCAAATGGCATCATTTTAGTAAATTCCCATTAACCTTGGCTCTAGGTATTTGGAACTTTTAGTAATGATGACAGAATTTGAATAGAAACTTCCCTATGCTTCACAAATCCTTTATAGATTATAACTTGTATAAACAGACTCAAAGAGAATATATATATATATA